TATTTGGCAGAACACTACTACAAAACTGCGCTCTTATCGTCATATCGGCCAGAAGTCAACGCCATTAAGATGATTTGAGCAGCGGTTGAGAATTCTGTCGCCAAGAAAATTGTAACCTTGAACATGGATGATGTTTTTAAACTTGTTTATAAATATATGTGTTCCCAAATTTGTTTTAAAAAGAAAATTTGAAACACACACGTGACCATGTACGAGTTAAAGAGGATCAGTAATGAATTCTTTATGATGGACAGGAAATTTTTATGCACTTATGCTTTGAAACTTATTTATACAAATTTCCTTTAAAAAAGAAACTGGGTACACAGATGTGATCATGTACGCACTATTGAGGATTAGTGACGAATGACGAATTTTTGTGATGGGCAGAAAATTGCTACGCACTGATGTTCTGAAGCCGGTCACGGTAGCCGAGCGGTCTAAGGCATTCACTGTCTTCGCTTGGAAACCGGGATCGTGGATTCGAATCCCACTCAGGGCATGGAAGTTCAGCGTGTGTTTGTGCGTTTTTCTGGGTTTGTGTACAGGTAGAGGCCCTGCTACTAGCTGATCACCCGCCCAAGTAGTACTACCGAATGTCTAAGATCTAGTTTCATGGAGGTAGGCCAAGGCCCACGTGGTCTGTCTCCCACAGCTGGAGTATCTGCTCCGAACAATGACACGAGCACGGACAGCGAGGAAAGCTAATATTGCGATGCCTTTTGTGTATATCTGTGTCCTTACGGCGGGAATTTCGAAGCTTAATTAATTTCCATTCTTTCACTATAGTGCTGGATACACGTTAGAGTAAATAAGAGAAATATTTGTATAAGTGTGAGTGAACGTCTTACTTACAGAGCGTCACCCGCCCTCCCATCCACAATGAAACTGCAGCCACTGTCTGGCTACGTTCTTGCCATGCTTCTCACGCACCAACACAGAAGCCAGGTCTAAAGAACACAGTATGTATATAGTTACCTAAGTTTTTTTCATCCAGTTAAAACCGGAAGTACTAGTAATGGCAAGAACGTAGGCACATCTATGACCAATCAGTCAAAAGTTATCGTCGCCCTGATTACGAGAAAAGTTGGTTTGCTAGCATACTTCTGAAGTACACGAAATTACCTTATTTCTAATTACCATCTTACGCCATTTTGTACAATAGTTGGGCTGCATAGTATGTCGCGAACGAGCGAACAGTCTCTTATTTCAATGTATTGTTTCCATTCTTTTGGTATGCATCTATTGAAGTTTCACGAATATTGACATAAGTTGCCTTGTTTTATATTTTGTTTGTATGTAGTTATTTTGTTTCCTTCTTCTGCCTATGCTTGTTTTACAATTGGCCTTTGGGCTGTTGAATAAGCACGAAGATAATAAAGGAATCGAATTGGATTGAATTATGTGAAGCATAATTATTATTTGACAATGGACTGTGAAGTTGTTTAAAGATTTTGAAGACTCTATTTTCAAAATACACTTGAATTTTGTGTAACACTGTGTATACATTTTATGCTAGTCGTAATTGTAAGTTAACGAAAACTTGTACGAAAGTGTACGACCACGATGAGCTTTTTGTTCAACAAGAAACTACACTGTGGCGTATATGTAATGTAACTCATCACCCCAATGGGATTATAAAATAAAATTTTATCAGATATTACATAGAAGTTCATGGAAAACGCCTTTCTTCATCTTCACGGTCTGAAGAATGTACAGTTGAGTACTTTTTAACGTTCCATCGATAAGAACTTCCCTGATATCATTAGTTCTTTGGCATAATTGCTTTATTCACGCAATGTGTAGAATTAATTACAGAAATAATTTCCCATCATACCGGGAATTAATGAATAATTTCGTGTTATACGAGTATGTTCTTCTGGAATACGAACGATGTTAGGACCTAAAAATACGTTAGTAAAATCGTCGTTTACCGCAGAAAGCCTCTGCCCTGCAAGTAATTCCATTCTGGAATTCTTGTTTATTTTTTAGTAAGGAATGACTTTCTCTAGAATTCGGTAGTGTGTTTAGTATATTATTTCTATATTAATACTGTCGCGTAACATAGGCAACACGCGAAGCTCACTTCTGACACCAGTGTAACGTGTCGGCTGTGCGTCGTGACATGAGTAAATTGCGTGGGTCCTCGGGTCGGAACGAATTCTTTTATTGGACACTTATTTGTACACACACCCGTACAATTATTCACAATTCTTCTTGCACCCTTAATCTCGGTGAAATGTCTGTTGATCTGCTCGGCGACCCAACTGTTCTCGGGGACTGCTAGAACTCCACTGTCTGTCTTAGTCTGAGTCTGAGTCTCATTTTACGACGGACGGTCAGTCAGCCAGTCTTGGCATAAAGCACCCCTCTGGGACTTAAGACCAGATCTTTATTACTGTTTGACAGTGACGGTCTTGTTTTCTGTGGGCGCCCTCTCTGACGAAAGGACGGGTCTGTCTTTTGCGTATGCTGCTGGCCTTGCCAGCGCAGTCTTTCTTGGGTCCGAGTCCCTTGGTACATTCAACCCCTTTAAATAGGCCTTTTGCTGACCGCTTATGGAACAAGTCTCTCAAGAGTTTGGTTTTCCCGTTGTATACAATGAACCCTCTCTTGTCCTTTCATCTCCGGGAAAACGCGTTTGTTGCTTTGTTATTCCTAGGCAACGGCCCAGTGTTATCGCGTTCCCATGGATTCCCGGCACGCGACAATACGTAGTTTCCCGTTGACTTCAACGGCCCGTTCTCTTGTTTCTACACATATATTAGATACTAGATACAAATCTGCTTATGCACAATAACAAACAGGGGATATATTCTTTTGCATATTCATGAGTAGTTTTTTCATGTATTTTGAAAATAAATGGTTTTAAATCAAAATTTAGGTCTTAATGATAGCTATACTTAAAGATACATACTTTCTTTTTACAATGAACCATTTATAAGAACAGAAATAATGTGTAATCATTTGTGGGATACTCACATTTTCCAAACAGAATTATATGCTACTTTGCATATCCCAGTACCATTTGATGTTCACCTGTTGCACAGATAAACACCTCCTGATGCAAAGTGAGCACACTACTGATTGTATCAATAATTACTTTTCCTTTTATTCCATTAAATACCACTATTCTGAAAGATCAAATAAAATCTTTAAATCTTATTTAAACCCGGATTGTATGCCACATGATTTTCTCCCACGGGTTTTATTATAAACCCCAATATCAAATTTAATCGAAATAAATTCAGTAGTTTTGGAGATTAAATTTTCGGATGAGTGGGTACGAAATCTCAATTTTTGCATTGTTTTGTATAATTTGAATAAAACGCATAAAATTCTAATTCTTAAGGGGAATTATGTTTCCTTTATATCATCAATTTAATAATTATTAACTTAAAATGATTGGGAAGTTCTGAAAACTGAGTTGCATTGAATGCTTTCTTAGCGCAGTATTGGCCTCTTTGGTCTTGATTTTTATTTATCATTGATACATTGCGGGATACCAAGGTATACTTAGTCCTATCTTCAGATCAGCAGTTTTATTCTAATTATGCATAGGAGATTTATCTGAAACAAGTTTATTCCTCACTTCAATTATTTTCTTTATTTTCCTTCTGCTTTCTGTACTCTGTAAACGTTCACATGACGCAACATCTTAAAATATTGACTGGGTATTGCGTGTATATATGATGCTCATTAATTTTCAATGTCTTTTTCACAAAATCTTACTTCATTTATCACTGTTACTCACAATATAATTTCTTACAGTAATGTATTCCTTACATTTTTCATTCATAAATCTACTGTGCATTTTCTCCAGTTGAAAGAAAAAATGAACGAACGTCTATAGACAAGTCAAATTAGTCTATAGCTTCTTTCATTATGTTGTAAATAATCTACTGTGGATCTAGAAACCTGTACATTAACCTACACAGAGTCAGAAGTTATTGTTCAATATATTCTTGTTCATAGAAATAAATTTCAGTTGAAAGTTGTGAACGTCAGTAATATATGTATCTTTTGTTATATACTCCTACGGCTGTCTGCTGCTATTGCTATTACTATGTAAGAAATGTTACATCATGTTTATCATAACCCTGTTTTATGCTTTAAATATTCCATATATTAAGTATGTTATTTTAAGGATTAGGTTCCGAGTCTGTTGTACAGACGTCGAAAGAAAATTCAGTTGTTCTCTCTTCATTCGTACTGGTTTAGAGAGTAGAAGGCTTACATTGCTCCTGGCGTTTCGAATGGTGGTCCTTACGTGTTAATACTAGGATCGTCTTCAGTCGTTCCAAAAAGCGATACTGGAATACAGATATTTCCATCCTGAACATTATGTTTTGAGTTAGAGCAAGCATGGACACGATTCAATGTTCTCATAGCGGTGAGTATGAAGAGTACGGCCGTCTGGGCTTTAACGTCGGATGATTCGGTATAAATCCACAGACGTTTCGGAGGAACATATCGCCTCTAACTTCTCTTCGACCCTGAAGATGAAGGCGATGCGTGCTTTGGTAGACTTGTAACTATGTAACTACGCGGCGTTGCAACCCAGAATATGCTACTCTTCGTGAAGATAAACTTGAGTTAAAAATCGGATTAAGTTCTCAGTACGTCGTTTTGTCTAGAACTATCCTACCTCATGACTCCTTTGACCGAGCTCGGGGACTGAAGTCTCAGAAAACAATTTCAGGATTGGAAAATTGTACGCTCCAAATAAAAGTTCTGTCTTATCTTCTTCACTCTACGTATGTCATATACAGAATGATACTGTAAGTGGAAATATCTTAATAACTGCAATTTTTGCACTTCTCCTGTCTACGTTAACGTAATTATCTTAGGCGAAAATGTGTACAGGCGAGGTTGGAGAGGCAAACAAGAAATTGGCGACCAACTTATGAGTCTCTATGCACCTGTTGAAAAATATTGGCTAGGTCTATGTTGATTGGTTGAAGAATTCGTTTGCGATAGCTAGTAATTGCGCTATAACTTACATTCATCATGGGCCACTGTACATTCCTGGGAAGAGAGACAGACGGTGCACTAACTGGGTGGCCTCTCCGTGGGCCCACCTCAGACTGCCGCGAATGTGTCTGCTGCTTGGTGGTACCACGATCCACTCACCGTTGTGTGATATTCTTCCTGCTGCACAAATCTCGTCTGCGCGGATGTTCCTGTCTCGGACCCGCGCTCGATGGTTATGCTTCTGCTTTCTAATTTTGGAGTTTCGGTCGCCTGTCTTTTTGATAAGTCGCCAAGTTGAGTTGAGAGGAGAGCAGGAACGAAAGCGAACTATTCCCACCCTGCGGGTTAATCAGCACTAGCGCCGGTTCCTGAGACTTTCCTTTTGCCTTGTCTACCCATAGTTGTGCCATGTCTTAATTTTAACTTTGTGGAGACGTCGGGCGCCTCTACTATGGATGCTAGACTATTATACATGATTTAGTTCAATGACTGCGACATCCACGGACAAAGAACTATTTAGAAATCTTCTCTAGCTTTCACTGAATGTATACAGAAACACAGAAGATTTGAAATTACTAAGTCGGTGAGACGGAATGCATATATTGCAGGAAGTCCCTGTACGCCTTCGGCTTCTAACGCCAAGACTTGTGCAGTCTCTTACAGGAATGTGGAAATCTATTTCCAGATATAGTTAAACCGCCTTTCAGTCGCTCGATTGTCCAGACGTATTAATTATTTATCATTCGGATTCTGCTCGCCACTTTAGCAATAAGAGAAATGTTTCCATATACGTGTTCGTACCATCCCATCTTCATAAGACGCGGAGATAAACTGTGTATTTACAAATCACCAGTCTCCATCATGGCGACAGTAATTGCTAGTAGGCTTATGTCCTGCTGGGACCTAGCGTTGTCCTGGGCGGAACCGGCGATAACGTTTGAAAGCTTCAATCCAGAAAGTAAAAATCGGCTAACAAGGCTAACATCACTTGAAATTCAACGGGGAATAATTTACTTCATGTTTTTTCCTCTGCCCCTTTCTCCCTTTCCTTTAACCCTTTCATTAGCTTCATCTCTTTCTCCCCGTTCCATGCTGAAGCAGTGAATTAGGTTACATCTCCGTCCTACAGGTGGCACGGTTGTGTGCATGTATTTGAAAATGGTGAAAACTACTGAATCATGAGAACGGCATAACACACATTGATGCATGCATAGACCTAACATGTGTCCTGTTATAGGTATTGTTACATGCACACCCATTGTTAGGTAACAAGTTGGTAAACGAGTTCCCGTTAAGATAAATTCTTGGTAGACAGTCCTTTGCTAGGTTACGCAACAATAGAGGAGGCTGTGTTTTCTATGTCGTCCGCGTCAAGTAACAGTAGATCAACTGTGTTATGCAATCTGTTTCTAAGCAACGGAAACGTAAACACGTCTATAATAATAGACGTTTTCCGTGGGTATATGCAGAGTGCTTATAAGACACGTGAATTCAGATACGACAGGCAAGCTACTGGAAAAAGTTATTCTGAAAATAGCCCAAAGGCACATTGAAGAAAAATGCCTGATTAATGCAAGCCAGTTTGGTTTCCGTGCCCGTCATAGCACGACAGTTGAATGTATGAGGCTTACGGACCACGTAACCTTAAATTTCAACACTAACATGTCTACAGCTCCTGTGTTCTTGGATATTGAAAAAAGCCTTTGATATAACAGGGCACATTGTCTTGCTATATAAATTATCTACATTACAATTTCCGATCAGTGTAAGCAAGCTTATTAGCTCTTTCCTCTCTCAGAGAAAATTCAAATTTTCAGTCGAAGGTGAAATGTCTACGCCAAGGGATATACAAGTAGGGGTTCCACAAGGTTCTGTCCTCTCTCCCACATTGTACAGTCTGTATATAAATGATGTGCCCCTAACACCTGGTGTCTCTCTAGGTCTCTTTGCTGACGACACCTGTATATATGCGACTGACCGCAAAGAGGGTTATGGTCTCAGAAAGCTGCAGCGAGGTCTCAGTGCTATTGAGGCGTGGTGTGAGCGCTGGAACATAAAAATCAATGAAGATAAGACTCAGGCAATCTACTTTTCTCATAGGCTTAGCCCCAATGATGCTCAACTTAAATTGAATGGACAGAATATCCTCTTTGCCAATCGTGTAAAATATTTTGGTGTCATTTTCGATAAGAGGATTACGTGGAGACTTCACATAGAAATGATTGAAGCCAAGGCCTTCAGAACATTTATTAGAATATATTCCATATTCAAAAGTTCACGTTTAAGCACAAACATTAAACTATCCCTCTATAAGGCACTGATCAGATCAATAACGACTTAACGTTTGTCCCGCCTGGGAATTAGCTGCAGACACCTACATTTNATTTATTAGAATATATTCCATATTCAAAAGTTCACGTTTAAGCACAGACATTAAATTATCCCTCTATAAGGCACTGATCAGGTCAGTAATGACTTAACGTTTGTCCCGCCTGGGAATTAGCTGCAGACACCTACATTTTAAAATTGCAGCGCATGCAAAACAAGATTTTGCGCACCATTGGAAATTTTCCAAGGCGCACACCGGTCTGCGACTTGCATACAACTTTCAACTTTCCATATATATATATATGGAAAGTTGGAAAGTATATATGGAAAGTATATATATATACGATTATATAATAAAATTGTGCAGGCGACAAGCAGAAGTCATATATAATCATGAAAATGAACATGTGCGCGGTATAGGACAAGGAGAAACGTCATAGAAAATATAAGAGGCTTAAACTTGGCGGTGGTCAAGCTTACAACCGTTCAAATATTAAGCTGCCGTTGTAGCATAAGACTTGTAAGTTAAGCATGATCTGCTCTGTAAAGCCTGTACTGACAGAGGATTTGTATGTAGTGAAAAAGGAAGAATGTTCAATAACATGTTATGCGTGGGAAATATACTGTTGACGAAAGGCCAAGCGTATTCATAAGAGACAAACTAATCTTCTCGTCAGAGATGATGTTACATAAGGACTATTACTGCAAGAGTTCGTTTGGAAAAATCTCTGGTCGTGGGCCTCAAGGGGCCTGAAGCCAAGATGAACTGATTGGCAGTAAACCGCCAGTCGTAAGGTAACTTTGACTTAGACTTTGCAAGTTCAGTTCAGGGCCGTTACGAGTCGTAGCTAGTCATAGCCGAGAACCCGTGAGTCAAGGACACGAAGCCGTCATGGAAAGGAGTTGTGAAGATTCAGACGCGAAGTGTTAATGGACGTTGAAGAATTTATGTGCTGTAGTGCAGTGACAGCTGGAGTGATTTGAAGTGCTAGTTCCTATGTTTTAATTGCGTTACCAGGAGAGGACTAGTGTGTGTAACAGTGCAGTAACAGCGATGGCATTGCACTATTTGTAATTAAGAGAGAGAATGTAACCGAAATACTAATAAATCCAATCATCCGAACTAGAACCCGTCATTTTCATCACGCGTACCACCCAACACGTGGAGAGTATTGATTGCTTTTCACATCTTTTTCATAAGTAATAGCTAAATTAATAACGTTACATAATAAAAGCTTCAAACAGTTGGACCGATTATGTGAGAAATGAAGAAGTGTTAATTAGAGTCAGTGAGCAGAGGAATATCCTACATGAAATAAGAAAACGGAAGGCTAATTGGATTGGTCATGTTTTACGCAGAAACTGCCTTCTAAAAGAAGCTATCGAAGGAAAGATAGATGGGCGGATAGAAGTGACAAGAAGACGAGGAAGAAGA